GTCCAGGATGCGGCCATCCCAGGGGGGAGCCCCCTCCCTGCCCTCCCCACAAAGGCTGCCAGAATCCCTGCTGCTGTAAAAGGCAGGACCGGAGCTAGCAGGGGGAGGGGCTCCAGGCAAAGGGGCCATCATGACAGAGGCAGCTGGGCAGTGGGGTGACCAGGAATACAGCCCCAGCTGGCCCGCAGACACAGACGCAGGCCAGCTCCTGCCTGCTCTCCAAGGTGCCTCTCTGAGCTTCAGCCTGCCTCAAGCGGGAACAACAGCTAATCTCATTCTCCTGATTCTGATCAGGAGCAATTGAAAAAGTGGCTGTGGGCTCCACCCACAGCAAGCAGTAATGCACGTTTGTTGAGTGACTAAATGACGGCAACAGAGAAGGAAACTGAGGTCTCATGGTCAGTCAGTGGTTCCTGATGCCCAGGTAAGGTTCTCTGTCTAGAACCACCACTCGCTGCACCTGTGGGTGGTTCCAGCAACGTGGGGAGAGGAAAGTGTGCAGCACTCCAGGCAGGCCTCCCAGAGGGGGCGCTCAGGAGGCTGGAGTGGCCGTGGCAGGTCTGGGAGCTGGAAGGTAGGGCCCCGGCTGTGGGAGGCGGGATCGGCCAACTCACCTGAGCGGCCATGTCCACCAGCTGTGGCAGGCGCAGGTACTTGCCCGTCTCCCCCTTGAGGAAGTCCAGCAAACTCCCTGAACAGAGAGACAAGCTGTAGCCCTGGGCTCCCGCCCTGCACCAAGAAGCTGCGATTCCCAGGCCCTGTCCCCGGGCTGCTGGCCTTGCTGTGACCAGCACAGCAGGTGCTGCATGGCCCTGTTTCTGGGTAAGTGTCACTCCACACCTGTCACTCAGAAAGCAAGCAGGACAGGCAGGGAGGCCCCGCCCACTGCAGGTGGGGAGACTGCACAGTGGGACCTGCCTGGTGATAAGAAAGGGTGCACAGTAGGGCGACTCTCTGAGGTCAAGGGGACTCGTGTGAAGTTCCCCAGTCCACACAAGCCCACCACAACAGAAAGCAGACAGTGGTCACCTGGACTTAGGGCCCGAGGGCATCATCTGCCAAAGGGGAATGGGAACTTCGGGGCGATGGAGACGCTCAGGCTGTGGAAAGGGGCGTAGAGAATCCCTGTGAAACTGCACTGGCTGGGTGCCTGTAATCCCAGCTACTCAGGAGGCTGAGGCAGGAGGATCGCAAGCTCGAGGCCAGCCTCAGCAACAACGTAGTGAGACCCTGTTTCAAAATAGCATTTTTCAAAGAAAGGGGGGCTAAGAGTGTGGTTCAGCGGCAGAGTGCCTGCATGGGCGAGGCCTGGTTTCAACCCCAGGACCAACAACAGCAGCAAAGTGGCCGAGTTCAAGCCAGGGACTTGCCTGGGCCTGGGTCAGCTGGGGGCAAGGAGCTCTCTTTTAGCCCAAGGACAGCAAACAGCTTTAGAACACCAGCGAACGACGCGTGGAGCTAAATCACCCAAACGAACCGAGAAGGGAGAGGGCCATCTGGGGACCTTCCCCTGACAGGGGGACTTGGGTCCGTGCCTTCACCTGTGCAGAGGCCCCTCAAGTGGGGGAGGCAGCTCCCCTCCGCCGCCCGCGGCTCACCCTTGCTCATGTACTCGGTGACGATGTAGATGGGCTCCTCGGACACCACGGCGTACAGCTGCACCAGCTTCTCGTGCCGCAGCTTCTTCATGACCTGGGCCTCCTGCAGGAAGGCCTCTGGGGACATGGTGCCCGGCTTCAGGGTCTTGATGGCCACCCTGGTGGTGCCGTTCCAGGTTCCTGTCGGGGAGGGACACGGGCTGCCTCAGCGGAGGCCCCAGTCAGGTGACATGGGAACGGGATCTGCCTGCCGGGCGCCTGTCCCAGCTCCGGCCTCCCCGCTGTGTGGCAGGCCAGCGCCTTCCGAGCCTCGGTGTTCCCACGTATGAAATGGGCACGAGGACCGAGAGCGCCCCGCAGGGCCAGTACGAGGAAGAAAGGACTCTGGCACCCGTCCAAGTAAGAGCAGCTGTCGCCGGGGATCTGGCCACCTGGCTGCTCATCTGTGGTCGGCTGAGGGCTGAGGGGGGAGTGCTCCAGGGCTCCAGTGGGGTTCTTGCCCCGTGGGGCTTGAGGCTACTTGATAAGTGGCTTTGGCCCATTCTGTCACCAGGCTGGATCCCAGTGGGCACAGGCCACCTGTGAGCGGCTCACAGCATTTCCTGCGTCTACCTGGAGCACCAGGGAGGAGGGGGAGTCTCCCCACAGACACCACATCGCAGGCTGGGACAGTTTCTCTGTCACCGAGGAGGATGGGGGACCCAGGGCTTCCTCAACTGCTCCTCGTGGGTCTGAGCCAGGGAGCAGCTTCCCTTCGTGCTCCTGCAGCTCACGGCCTCCCCTCCCTGGACCTCGCCTCCAGCCTCCAGGCCTCTGAATGGGGCCTCTGCTGCCTCCAGCCACCCTTGGAAGGGAGGAGAGCAGAGAGAGAGGGACCAAGTGATGTCCTGTCAGCCTGGCGAGACCACCTGACAGGGGCCTGGAGCCACAGGCCAGGTCTCCCAGCCCCGCCTCTGCGCTCCTGGGTGCAGACGCTGGTGGTCAGGAGAGGGGCCTGGTCTCCTCGGGCTTCGTGGGGCTCATCCCAAGGACGATCTTGCCGCGTCTCCAGGTTAGACACCAGGTTAGACAGGAAATTGCTAACAGCCCAGAACATGCCAAGCCCTCGGCTTCCCGGCCCTCCCGTGGCCAGCGGGACTTTCTCTTCGCATGGCCGAGAGCTAACGTGCGGCCAGGCCAGGGCCGGAGTTCCCACACTGCCCCTGCGATGGGTCCAGAGACACTGAGGCTCAGAGTGAGACCACCCAACCCAGACACAAGGGGGTCTCCGGGGAGGACCAGCGTCCAGCCCTGAGCAGCTCTTGGTAGACAGGCGCCCGGGTCTTTAGAGGGTGGGCCGCAGGGAGTCTGCCCTGGCCGGCTCATGTGGAGCCCAGCACTCAGGGCTGCACCCCAGCTGGGTGATGTCCACCGCGGGCAGAGGTCCATGTGGTTCAGAGGCCACTGAAGAAAAGGGGACCTAGGGCAGCCACACAGAATGGACACCTGCCTGGTCCCCGGGGCGACCCTCCCCCGGGGGCCTTGCTCTCCATGCACGCAGCTCTCCTTACCCATCCACACCTCCCCGAAGCAGCCCTGGCCCAGCTTGACCTCCAGCCGCAGCGACTCCCGGGGGATCTCCCAGGCGTCCTTGGCCAAGCCCTGGGTCTGCGGCTTGGACGTGGGGCACACCGTGGTGAGGCGGTGGCACAGGCCGTCTGCATGTTCTGAAGACAGAGAGAGTGGAGCTCAGGTGTGTCTCCCTGGGGCCTCCGGGTCCCCAGTGTATGTGGCCTTACTCATCACATGCACAGAGGGCAGGGGACATGCAAAATGCCCTTGGAGAGAGGACCCACGGTTGTACACGCCCAGCCTGCGCACCACGGTGCCCTACACCTGCTCGTGGGCACTCCTTCACTTACGCACCAGAGGTGAGGGTGCCGGGGACCCAGAGGGGAAGAGTGTGGGGAACCTGCCTGCAGCTGGAGGCCTGGAGGGACCAGGGCCCTTGGTCCCCACCCAGTACCACCAAGGGGACGGGAGCACTGTGCTGTGGGCGAGGAGGCAGGTGAGCTGTGCACAGACCCCAGGGGAGGTGGCTATGGCAGGATCCTCAGCAGGACCAGGTGGGCATCCCCCAGAGGGCTGGAGCAGCCACTCAGAGCCCACAACTGCAGGTGGAGGCCGGGAGACCCTGCGCACCTGCTGTCACTATTCTAAGACCACAAGGTAGCGCCCCAGGGGCTGATCGAGAGAACAGCATCCCCTACAGCAGTGGCTCCTAGAGGAATGTGGGAGGCCCAGGCCCTAGAGGAGGAGGCTCAAGGTGGGCAGCGGATCGTCCCACACAGGGTCACCCCACACACAGTCCCCATCATCCAGATGGGTGGCCATGGGACAGCCTGACTCCTGCTCTCTCTGCGCTCTCCCCTCCCTCCTGCTGCCATCAATGTGGCAGCCCCCTCTCCCTCCCCCAGTAACCGGTTCAGACCGGTCCTAGAGCTGCAGAGCTCAGATCTACACCAGCCTCACTCAGGCAGCCCCCTCCTCACCGGGCAGCTGCAGTGGGGGGGAGGGGGAGGGGGAGGGGGAAGGGCGCACTGGAGTAGTAGGCCACCAGCTGCTGCAGGCTGTTGAACTGGGTGCGGGAGGTGATGTAGAAGCCCCCGCTGTCCAGCTTGCGGATCTTGTAGTGCTTCACGTTGAGGCCCTTGGCGTTGTCAAAGTCGGACACGGAGAGGCAGTAGGCACCTACGGGCGGGGCCGGAGGGAGAGGGGCTGTGACCACCATGCCACCACCTCACAGGCCCGGGCACTGAGCACTGCCCGGGGCCCAGGGCCGTGCCTGCCTGACTCTGGAAGGAAGAGAGGCGGTGGGTGAGCCCCTAGCACAGAGCTCACTGAGCTCTGGGGCAGCCACAGAGGCTGGGACAAGCAAGCCAAGGGACACCTGAGCAGAAGAGGCCCACCCCGAGCCGTAGCCCTGGCAAGACTTCAATCCTGGGTATGCACCCTAGCTGGGTGACCTTGACAGTGGCTCGCCCCTCTGGACCTCACTTTCTTCCTCTACATCAGGGTTACTGGGAAGATCCAGCGAGGCCACATAAGGAGGCCTGGCACACAGTAGGTACTCAGTACGTGTTTGCCAGGAGCCCGGGCTGCCCACATGGCTGTGTGTCCCTGGCCTGGCTGCCACACTCCAGTCTGCACATAGGGCTTTGTCTGCAGCCCTTGCTGCTTCCTGAACACCACTCTTGGCTGGCATGGGGGCAGGTGCGCACCCCGACTCTGGGCAAGTGACACTGGCCAAGGCAGCAGCAGCCCTGGGCGGGAGACCTTGGGTTGGGTGTGGTGGCCACAGCTGGTGGCCCCTCCATCCCCTCCTAGAAAACAGCTTCCTCCACCTGCAGACCTGGCCAGGAGCCCCTAACCAGAGTCAGGGGATGCTGGAGGTGGCCTTGTGGAATGAAGCTGAGCCCCAGAGGTGGGACTCAGGAGCAGGCCAGTCCCCAGGGCCCACAGGCCTCCCCTGGACAATCCTCAGGTAGAGACCACAGTCCCAGCTACAGAAGAAAAAGTCAGGCCCAGAGAGGAAAAATGACCAGCCTCCGGCCACCCCTGCCTCAGGCACAGAGCTGGGACCCCAACCACACCTGAGGGTCCAGAGACAGCTGGGGGCAGCTGTGGCTTCTGCATGTGGCCCAGGCTGTGCGCACACAGAAGCCTCAGGCCTGAAGCTAAAACAAGCCCTGGCCACGCGGGCAGGACCCAGAACGCCCTGCCCAGCGGCCACGTGCTCACATTGGCCCGTGCTCCCCAGGGCCCAGGCACAGGTCAAACCACCACAGCTCACTCCCAGGAAGAGAAACTCAGTCCCGCCCCCCCTTCTGCCTAGAGGGGCACACAGCACCACCAACCAGCGATCCTAACCACACAGGCTCGCACCAGGACCTGATGCTCCGCTTTCCCGCCCCCCCCCCCCCCCCCCCCCGCCCCCCCGGCCCACAGGAAGCAGCCCAGCTCGGTTGCCATGGTGACAGGGCTCCTGCAACCCACTTTCGGAGGGACTGGAGAGAAGGGGGGCGATCTTCACTCTCTAGTGGGGGAGGGCTGCAGGGGGGAGGGGCCAGGGCTGTGGGGGAGGGCGCAGCCCCAGGGGCCTGGAGGGGAGAAGAGGGGCCACTGCAGGGGCACCTAGGCTGGGAAGGAGTGTGACACGACCTCCTAACACTCCACCCCCTCCTCATCTGAGAAACAGAGGCCAGAGAGGCCAGAGGGCTCACTAACCCCCAGACGACTCAGTATTCCTCCCATTCACTTCCCTGACCTGCACCCTGCCGCATACCCAGCTCCTCTCCATCTGGAGGGTTCTCCCCCGCCACCCGCCCCGCGTACCCAGCTCCTATTGGTTCGGCAGCACCCGCCCAAACGACCCGCAGGAGCTCGGTGCCCGCCGCCCAGGGGAGGCCGCCTACCTTTCGTGGTCTCGCTCTCTCGCACCAGGAAGGTCCCTCTTGGGTTCTCCGTGTTGAGCAGCAGCCGCTCTGACTCCCGCCTGGTGATCTTGCCAAAATACCATCTGGGTGGGGGGACGGGGGCCGTGTTGAGGGCCCAGACTCCTGCCACCCGCGGGGCCCCTCCTGGACGTGGCTGAGCCCCAGAGGTGGGATCAGGAGCAGGCCAGCTGCAGAGGCCGGCAGGGCAGAGGCCATACTCACTCCTCAGCCTGGATGGAGTCGGAAGGCGCCACGTAGTTGCTGGGGATGTAGCCGGTCTGTCCCGTGCTGAGCGAGTGGGCCAGCCACCAGTCTCCCTCTCTGAGCAAGGGGAGGAGGGAGCAAAGAAGAAGGGGCCATCATCAGGTGAGCCCAGGGGCCTGCCCTAACCAGGGGCCGCCGCAGCAGGAGGCACCAGGAGGCGGGGCCCACGTGCCCAAGCGCACCAGCTGGAGCTGGCCAGGCTCCCCGGCCTCCACTGCCAAAGCTGGCTCAGGGAGCTTCGTCCAAGCCGGACAGGCCTGAGCTCAGCCAGCCTTCGGCCCAGGCCAGGCATGTCCTGGGGCGGGAGGGGAGCGGTTCCTTTCAGTACCCAGCCACCTCCAGCGCCAAGGGCTGCGGGGGAGGGCGCACCCTGACTCTGGGCAGGTGACACTGTTACGGAGAGAAGACCTTCGGAGTTCCCCAGCCCTACGACTCAGAAGCCCAATCCTGGAAGCTGGTGAGCCCTGCATGGAGGCAACGGGTGGCCCTTCTGGGGCCTGGGGACAATCTAAGCCCCGGCCCTGCAAGCTAGAGCCACGCTTGCCTCTGCTGCCGATCCCAGGCCCCAGCTCAGGGGCCTCCTGGGAACTGCAGGCCTCCTTCGCAGCTCGTCCACACACGGGGGAAATGGAGGCCAGAGGGGCGGGGACTTGCCGTAGTCACAGAGAGTCAGGTGGGAGGACAAGGTGGCCCGTGAGAAGGAGGGGAGGACGGGAGAGGGACAGGCAGGAAGAGTGCCCGGCGAGGAGGGGCCGGGCAGGGCAGGGGCGCGAGTACCTTTGCAGCCATCTGAATGTGAACCAGGTCTGGCTGGAGCGGGGTCCAGAGACAGAGGAGGGAGGAACAAGCGGGAGCCCAACGGGAGAGAAGAGGCAGAGACGGGGGTGGTGAGAGGCAGAGAGGCAGAGAGCGGGCAGCAGGAGAGCCAGCAGTGCTGGGGACAGGGACAGGGCAGCCACAGAGGCTTCACGTCCAAAGCAACCAACGGGGACAGGGAGAGGGTCCACGGGAGAGAGGAAAGGCCAGTGGGCAGGACAGCCTGGGAGCCGGGCCACCCGTCCAGCCCGCGGTGCAGGTGGGAAGACTGAGGCCAGAGGAGCAAAGGCCTGGTCCGGGCCACGCAGCCGGCCACGCCCGACACCGGATGAGGGGCTCCTGGGGGCTGCACGGGGCTGGACAGCTCCTCGGCCCCCCTCCAGGGCGGCCCTGGGGCCTCACGACACATGGCCCTGGCCAGGACCTACAGAAAGGGCCTTGCCAGCCGCCACACGGTGGGCACCTGAACCAGCCAGAGCCCTGGTCCTTCCCGCGCCCGGCCATATTCTTCAGCTGAGGCCAGGAGAAAGCAGGGAGCTCCCCAGGCACCTCAGAGGACAGGTGAGCACCCACACCCGGGCTCACTGGGTGGGCTGAGGCAGGGCGAGAGTGTGCGGGGCGCCTTCTGGATGGAGAGAGACGGGGTGTGGCTGGGCTTGTGGGCCCGAGTCTGCTACCTGACTGTGCCCTCGGCTCAAGCCCACCTCGGGGAAGAGGCCATTGGGCCCCACCACCCCTGTGCACCCATCTGTGGGCACCTGCACTCTTCTTTCCCCGTTTGACCCTCAAAGTCACCCTCAAGGAAGGAAGGCAAGGCCCCAACCCCCAGCTGAGGAAACCAGGGCTCAGAGACACCTGCCTGGGAGAGAACAGACCAGCACTTTCTTTGTAAAGTTGGGGAAGCTGAGGCACAGAGAGGGGCAAGGACTTGTTGTTCAAAGCTACAAAAACTCAGGTCACAGGGAAGAGTCGAGCTCCTCCAGTCCAAAACCTCTACTTCTCCAGTGGGGAGAATGAGCACAGAGAGGGCAATGACATACCCCAAGCCACACAGCAAATCAATGGCAGAACGAAGGTGAAAACAAGGGCCCCGGAGTGCCCACAGCCAGAGCAGCAGGCCCCTCAGCTTCGCAGGGGCCTCAGAGAAGCCAGCGGAAGGCACAGGAGGGGCTGCAGGGTGGGGCCAGGGGACAGGACGTACCAGACTGGGCCAACACCCAAGGCCTAAGGTCCAAGGTCTGAGGCTACAAAATGAGGCCAGAGACCCAATCCCGGGGATCCCCGGGTGCCCAGCCGAGGGGAAGGCTGGCGGGAAGCACGTGCCAGTCAAGCAGGCCCCAGAAGTGGTGGGGTCCACCTGCCTGCAGCAAGAAGAGCTCCCGACTCCTTGCCATGACCCACACAGGAATTTGGGGGTTCACAGCAGGTTTGGGGGCTTCTTCACGAGGCGCAGGGACAGAGAGCACGACAGCTTTGCTACAGAACTCAAGGTCCCGGGCCTCAGCTGGCCCTGACCCCAGTGGTGTCTGAGAACGTCAGCTCCACAGTCGGCGGCCCTGGGCACTGGCTGGGTGACCTTGGCCCTGCGCATCATGTCCCCGGGTCTCGACTTCCTCATCTGAAGGCTGGGAAAGTCCTGCCTCCCTCTGAGGAGGTCAAAGGTCAGCACAGGGCCTCAGAGCAGGTGCTGACTAGCTCTCTGGACTCGGGGCCTCCCTGCAGGGCCTCCCTGCTCTCAGAAGCATCTAAACTCCAAAGCGGCAGCCCGGGTGCGGGGAGCATGCCTGCCACCTAGCTACCCAGAGGGCAGAAGCAGGAGGATCACAAACGAAGGCCAGCCAGGGCCACCGTCTCAAAGTAAAAAAGGACGAGGGGCATAGCTCAGGGGTAGAGCGCCACTGGGTTTGATCCCCAGGTACCACAAAAAACATTAAATTAAATTAAAAAAATAGTCCCAGTCTCCAACAAGGATTTGCTGTGTGACCTTGGGCAAGTAGCATACACTCTCTGGGTCTTAGTTCTCTCACCTGTGAAGAGGAGATAATATACGCAGAACCTCCATTGCATCAAGCTGGGCTCAGGATACGCTGAGATAATGACCACCCGAGCCTCAGTTGGCCCACCTGACAAATGGGGGCATCCATTCCTATCTTCCCAAGTCAAGGGTCTGGGGGTTGAAACCTGCCCAGGTGGCCATGAGCTAGCTCTGCAAGGAGCCCATTTCCCAGATGGGTCCAGCCTGGTGGAGGCAACCCAGCCTGGCATGAGGAGTAACTGCAGCACTGACGGATCAGGCTGAGGCCTTGTGCTGCAGTCAGTGCCTTCCCTGGGGTCTGGTCCTCATCAGGTGGGCAGGAAGACGGGAGGGAGCCACACGTTTCCCACCCAGCCCCCTTCCACACCACCAGGGGAGAAAGTGTTGGACCAGGGGTCCCTGCACTGCAACTTCACACCCCAACGGTTGCTCATAGCTGTGTGACCTTAGCCAACTGACCTCACCTCTCTGAGCCTCAGGTCTTTGTTTTGGACACTAATCCTTGTGTCCAGCCAAGCTGGACTATAGATCCAGTATGTGACTCTGGAAAATGGAACGTGAGGTCAGTGTGACCAGTGACACTAACTTGCTTGGGCTGTTGGGACTCGTCTGCAGACAGGTTGGGCAGCTAAGCAAGGCCCAGCCTGAGAGGGACAGAGCCAGGGCTGAGCCAGCCAGAGCCCGGGTAGGGGGCAGCAGGACAGTGAAAGCTCCAAGCCCTGGGGCCTGGGGCCTGGTCTGGGGGTGGGGAGGGGAAGGCCCGGACAGGCCCCTGGAGGAGGCGGAGGCATGTCCTTGGGGCTCGGAGTCCTGAGGTGCCTTCCCCAGGTGTCTGGGCAAGGAGGCAGAGGCCAGCTGGAGGGTGTGGCCAGGGGGCAGCTGCGGGGACTGGGGGGGGCCAGGGAAGCCGCTCGGCCGTCTGAGGGAAGTCAGGCCTCAGGCCGCAGCCGGCCTCCTGGCACACAGACCCAGGCGGTTTGGCACCAAGACCCGTGCCCAGCCGTCTCTGTGAGCACCCAGGTCAGCCCCCTCTCTCCCCAGACACCCAGCCCAGCCCCCCACGCCCCCACAGCCGCCAGCCTAGGTCCCAGCGCCCCTGAGCCACAGCGGTGAGCGTGCGGGCGGTCCCTGGGGGAGGTATGAGGTCCCAGAATTGGGGTGGCCCATCTTCCACTGACCCCAAGCCCCTTTCTCTCTCCTCTTCCTCTAACGCCACCCACCGTACCCCTCCACTTCTAGGCTGGGGCTGGGTAAAAAGGAGGAGGAGGCCCTGACAAGCAGCCCCGCCACAGCACCCGGGTCCTCCAGGACGCCCAGGGCCTTCCCACGGAGGACCCTTTGTCACTTCCGGCCTCTAGGCTGCCCCAGGCCCAGCTGAGCACCCCAGCCCACCCTGGAAGGCAGGAGGAAGAGAGGGCAGGGGCCAGTCATGGGAAGGAGTGGGGACGGCCCTGTGGCCCTAATCAAAGAGGCAGACTCAAGGTCCCGGCCTATCTGCCTGCACACCTGGGTTCCAGCTGTGACCCCCTGAAACTCAGCCTGGCGGGGACCCCGTCTGGGCATCCTACCCCCAGGGCCGCTGGGCTCTGCGTGCTGCACTGGGACCCTCCTACAAGGACCCTGAGCTGGAGAGCCGGCCTCTCGGCCCAGCTCTGCCTCTACCAGCTGTGTGACCTTGGGCAAGTCATTTCACCTCTCTGGCCTCAGTTTTCTCATCCGAAAGAAGGAGCAAACAGGAGTTCCCACCTCTCAGGGCTGCAGTGCCTCATAAATAAAATAACGCACCTTAGGTCGCTCTGCGTGTGGCTCGGCTCGTACAGAGCGCAGCGTAAGCATTAACCCTGATGGTGCGCCCTGCCCCAGCACTCTGGGCACCCTGGAGGACTGAGCAGGGTTCCAGGGTGCCCAGACGGGGGAAAACCAGGGAGGCCCCCAGGGAGCTCCCCTTCTGGGAGGAAGCAGATTCAAACAACTGGTGACAACCAGAGAATGGAACCACACTGGGACCCCGGGCTGGGGCAGAGCGCAGTGGCTGCAGGGCCTGGGCAGGGTCCAGGGCTCAGTTTCCAGAACCACCAAGACCAAAACCAAAACCAGAAAAGGACTTGGACTCTGAGGTACCAAGGCAGGGAGGGGAGAAGGAAACCCCCACCAGGACAAAGACCTGGGGAGGGAGAGTGTCACAAGGTCCTCGCCTGGCCTGTAACTTGGTAGCCATGTGGCCCTGGGTAAGGACCTTCACAACTCTGAGCCTCAGTTTCCTCATCTGCAAAATGGACACCCCCTCTCCCCATCACGACTGCCCTGGCAGGGCCAGAGAAAGGAGCAGCGGGAGGGGACGGGGTGGGGACAACTGACACGGCACCTCTGTGTCCTTCTGCCTCACAGAGAAGCCAGCCCTGTGCGGGACCTTGCGGGGAGGACAGGAGTCTGCCAGGCAGGGATGCGGAGGGTGTTCCAGGTGCAGGGAACGGCATGCACAGGGAGACACGCTTGGGGACGGTGGCTATGTCCACCTCCTTCGCCAGGCCTTTGAGGACACTGGGAGGTGGATTCTCCTCTACCCTCCAGAACCCCTCACGGTCCATGGCCCCACAGGCAGCAGCCCTTCCAGCCCTGCACCTCCCTGAGGGGCTGCCAACCCCAGCTCCACCTGCACATGACTTCACTGTCCCTCCCAGTGCCTGTGGTCATCATCAGAGGCACACTGCAGGGCCAGGACCTGACCCCAACCCACCCTCTGCCTGCCCCTGGCCAGGGCTGGGGTCACAGAGCCGGCTCACAGCCACTCTGGCTCCAAAAAAGAATGGACAGGCCTCTCCACCCCGGCCGCCCAGGCCCAGCGCTGGGCCCTGCATGCAGCCGGCACTCAATGGGGGCTGACAGACCAGAGGGACGGGGAGTTGACGGGAAGGGGGCAGATGCAGTGGCGATGGAGCACCCCGGTCTCGGTCTGGGACCTGGTCAAGCAGGACTGGGTACAGGAAAGCTGGGGAGCCCGGGTGGTGGAGACAGCCGAGGGCCAGGGACCACAAGCAGGGACACTGGGTGGCGAAGCACATGCAGACAGCAGCCCCCAGCCCAGGCTGAGCGCCCCCACCCGGCCCAGGGAGTGGGTACACACCTGACATCCACCTTCCTCCTGAGGCCAGCGAGAGAGAAGCGAGAGAAGAGGCTGAGAGGGCTGCGAGGAGCAGGCAGGGGACCCAGGGCCTGCTGCGGTCCACAGGGGCTGCCAGCTCGGGCACAGCCTGCTTGGGGCCGTGCCACCTCTGCCAGCAGCTCCTGCACAGGCGGGAGCCCACCTCCCCCGTGAAGTCCCCCAGGGGTCCAGCAGGCAGGGGTAAGGGGCACTCACGTGTTGTTGACAATCTGGAGCCGCTCCCCTTTCTTGAAGGACAGGTCGGTCTCTGTCCGTGACTCGTAGTCATAGAGGGCCACAAAGGTGGTCACTCCGCCTGCGGAGACGGGGGCAGATGTCAGACCAGCGGGGTCAGGAGTGAGGCCTGTCCTCCCTCATCTCAGCATGCAATCCAGGGACGCGTGGGCGCGTGCAGCCGTGGCACTTGTCCCCAGCCTGGGACACCTGTGAGGCCCGTGGGGCGCTTGCGCCCTCCAGCCTCTGTCCCTGCTGGGCTTCAGGGGGCGCTGGGTGTGTCTTGTCCGTGTGGGGTCTGTCTCGCCCCATCCCACTAGAAGCTTCTGAGAACAGACATCTTTGTTCTGGCCCCAGCCCCGGGCTCCCAGTAGGTGCTCACAAAATAACTGCGGCTGACAGAGCCAGGGAATTAAGGGCCTGCTCCCGGAGGGGCCGCTGTCCCTCTGGGGATCTGGAGAGAGCAGCAGGTGACCGTCCACTCAGAGGCCCCGGGTCCCCCATGTTAAATGACAACCCCCTTTTCCATGCACCCTGCAGCTCCCAGCAGCTTCCCCTCCTAAGGCGCTCACAGTCCCCTCCTGTCCTTCCTCTCCCTGGGCCATTGAGGCAAAGGTCCAGGCTCCGTGACTGTTTTGAGCAAATGAATGGCTGTGTCTGTGGGTCCGTTTATCTCTCGTGGGTGTGTGTCTGTGTCTGGGCGGTCCATGCTCTCCACGCGTCTGCGCGGGCACCCGTGGACCTGGACACCCATGAGCACGGCGTCCCGGGTCTGAACGGGCGCTGCCCGCGACCAGGGCCTTGGGTTATCTGTGCGCGAACTGCGCGGGGAGTGCGTGTCCCTGCGTGCCGCCCCATGGGCACTGTGCCCGTGAGTGTCCCTGGAGGCTGTGTCCGTGCCCGTGCGTGGCTGGCCTGGGAGCCTGGGGACCAGCAGGCGGTGTCTCCCGCTCTCCGGCCGCTGACTGCCGGGCCCCGCGGCGCCGGCAGAGGGCGCAGGGGCGCACTCGGGGCCGCCCGAGCCGCCCCGGCCGCCGGCCAAGCGCGGGCCGCGAGGTGGCAGCCTCGGCCCGGGCCGGTGTGGCCCCTGCCTCTGGGCCCAGCGTCCCCTCCAGACCCCGCTACACTGAGCGCGTGACTCACCCCACAGAGCGCACGGCTCACAAAGCCGTCCCCACCCGCGGCGCCCGGGACACTCCCTGCGGGGCCCAGGACGAGGACCCGGGGACCCTTCCCCTCCAGCGCGGAGGGGTCGGGCAGGGACACTGACCGGCCAGGGGCCCCGCCCTCTGCGGGGAGGTGACGGTGTCCGACGAGTTGAAGCCCCCGAAGAGCTTGGGCTCGGCGGCCGCGGGGGCGAAGGCGGCGCCCGGGCCGCGGAGGCCGTCGGCGGAGGCCGGCTTGCTGGGCGTCTGCGAGGCGGGGAAGGCGCCGCCCGCCGCGTGGGTGCTCTCGGCCGGCTCCAGGCTGCGGCGCCGCTGGCTGGCGTCCTTCGGCTTGCTCTTGTTGCTACCCATGGTCCTGGCTGGGACGACAGGGCCGCGGGGTGGACGGGCGGCCGGGCACAGGCAGGCCACCCCACACGCCCTACGGATGGGGAAACCGAGGCCCAGAAGGGGACTAGCCTCTTGGGTGAGTTGGCCTCGGCCCCAATCTCTTCATACTGAGGATACCCCTAAAGGGCTCCTCTGGAACAGGGTGAGGCTTGGGAGAAACACTTCATGACCAGAAGCCCTGACCTCCGAGTCCCTGTTCCAGTCCTTCTATCTGAATCATGTCTATGTCCCCAGCTCCTGGCACACAGGAGGGACTCAATTCATGTTGTTGAGCAATTACATGACAGGTTGAAATTGTCTGACACTGGGAGGCTGGGAAAGGTGCTAAAAGGAGGCAGCAAAGCAGGGGAAGTTTGCGGGGAGAGATGACTAGACGCCCAGCCACAGGGCCTTTGCATGTGCTGTTCTAAGAATGCTTTTTCCTGGGGCTGAGGCTCAGTGGTAAAGCACTTCACTAGCATGTGTGAGGCTCTGGGTTCCAGTCTCAGCACCACATATTAATAGAAAAAATAAAGGTCCATTGACAATTTAAAAGTACTTTAAAAAGAAAAAAAAAAAGAATGCCCCTTCAGTTCTCAGATCAAAAGTCACTTCCTTAGGAAGGGTTCCCCCAATTCTTTCACTGAATTAAGTAAGCCTCCCTCATTGTGCCTCTCCTGATCACCGGTGTCCCCCTTTTATTTAAATTCCTGTGCTTTTGTCCTATTCACTGCTGTGCTCCAGGGAGGGTTCAAGAGTCAGGGACTCGGGCCAGTGAATCTGGGAAGGCCGGGCAGGAAGCTCGGGGCCAACTCCCCCCAGACAGGAGCCCACCTCCCTCCGCACCCGTCATGGCACCCCGCCTGCCCAGGCCGTTCCCTCACCTGGTGGAAGGCAGGGCCGTCCCAGAGGGCCTGGGAAGCAGCTGGGCTCTGGGCACAAACACGAGGCGTGGAGTCAGCAGTCTCGCTGCGGAGTCCCTGCTCTGCCCTTCCAGGCTGAGTGTCCTAAGCCAGGCGCTCCCCGTCTCTGGGCCTCAGTGTCCTCATCTGCAAGGCAGGGGCAGCAGACTTCTCAGGGCTGCCAGGTGGGGATGGAGAGGCACTGCAACAGGGACACCCTGGGTCACTGTGCCTCAGGCCCTGACTCAGGCAGGTGGGCGCCGGGGCCTCCCCTGCAGGGTTCGTGGACCCATTGGGAGCCGTGGGAGGGCGGGGTGGGCGCTGCAGCCTGACTCCGGGTCCAGACCTCGCCTCTGTCCCTGGCCAGCCGCGTGATGGGGCTTGCACCTTAACGCCCCACCCCGTGCCACTTCTCCATCCACCCCTAACAAGGTGAAGTGACTGGCCAGGGCAGTGTCCCTGGCGCCCGCACATCGGCTACAACACGGTGATGGCCCTGGAGTCAGTCTGGAGTCTTCGCTGAGAACCCAGGAATGTGGAAAAGTCCCCTCTACGGGCTGGGCCCCGGGCAAGCTGCCTGCCCACCGGCGAGGACCAGCTGGGACTCCCCTCCAGGCCACAGGCGGGGGACCATCCCCCTGACAGGCAGAGGAGGCTCTGGGGAGACCGATTCAACTGCCAAGGGATCACCAGGGCCTCCCAAGGGACAGGCCACCAATCTGGGGACAGTCAAGGCCAGTTCCTGTGGCAACACATTCCATCAGGGTCACAGTGCCCATCAGCCCTCATGACGCTGGTGCACAAGGACCTGCTGACTGGTCCCCCGCAGCCCCCTGACACAGGGCCCTCCCACCCACTCCCATCCTCTGGCCCCCTGGCCAGGCGTGGTGGGCAGGGCCTCTCTTGCACATGGTGACTACTGTCACTCAGAGTGGTCTTGGGGGACTGCAGGAAGACAAAGAAACAATAAACCCTACGGCCCACCCCGAGGACAGTGGGGTCCTGAGGAGGGTGTGCTTCCGGCCTCTCCAACATGACCATGACAGCCACAGGCCACTTGAGTGTCCTTGACTCAGCTCCCTGCAGAGAGGGGCAGCCAGGCCCCTTCAACCAGGAGGGCCTGCCACCCGCGAGGCTCTGGAAGTGTCTGCGGGACAGACGAGACTCCAGGAGCACGGACAGACACATCTGCTCCCCGCGTCCTCCTCGCCAGGGCCACTTATGGGGACTGAGGATACTCCAGGACGGCCAAACGCCCTGAACGTCACCTGGCACTGGACCCTGCGCTGGGCACTCGGTGAACCCTGGCTCCTGTCCTCGTCTCTAGGAGGTAGACATTGGCAGTGACCTGGGCTACTGACGGCGAGGCTGAGGCACAGGAGGTTGGGAATTGGCCTAAGGTCGCACAGCTCGGCTGAGAGTGAGCAGAAGGGTGGACAGGGCCGTACTGGGCGGCCGAGTCGGGCTGTCCAGGGTCCCCCTGCCCACGGCTCTGTGGAGCACCAGGCGTCCTGGGGACACGAGGGAGGCTGCAGTCCAGCCGGCTCCTGGACAGAGTCCGAGGTTGTGGCCAGCGGCAAGGCAGATGTTTGAGGAAGGACCGGCCCCCTTAGGGTGGAGGTCCAGGCAGCACACAGGTGCGCTGTGTGACCTTGGAAGGGACCCCCCCAGTCAGCACTCTGCTTCCCCAGGGCTGAGCTGCCTCCAGGTGCAGTCACCCCGCACTGCTCGGTGAGAAGTCCCCAGGCCACCTCGCGCTCCCTGAGGTGGAGGCAGACCCTTGGGGCCAAGGGGAAGCAGAGGGAGCCATGCGGTGGGGGTGCTGGGCCCAGAGGAAAGTGGCCCCTTCCTGTGAGAGCTCCTGACCGCAGGTTCCGCTCCGCCCCAGCAGAGGACAGTGGCCTCGGGCACAAGGGCTGGGCGCGGCTCCCTGCAGCCGCCACTCCGCCTGGCCGAGCGCCGCACCTAACGGTCCTGAGTGGACCTGGCCTCTCCCTCAGCCCTGTCCCCCTCCAGGTCACTGGCTGGGGCTGGCCCGCAGAGCACCTGCTGAGGGCCAGGTAGGTCTGTGCGCTCTGCTCTGTGGCCTTCCCGGCTGCAGCTCCCTGCCGGCCCCATTCCCCCAGACAGGGCCCTGCCACCCCCAGCCACCTGCCGTCCCAGGCCCCTCCAGCCACCTCCTGCCCCAGGTTGGAGCCCCGCCTCACGCTCTCCGTGGAAATGGAAAGAACGTGTCTGGCAGAGGGGCCCCCCGCTACACAAGCACCGGCCTGGCCCTCCAGGGGCCACCTGTGTGGCACTCAGGAGGCACAGAGCACCGTGCGCTGAGGAGACACCAGGAGAGGAAAAGAGGAAGCCGGGCCTCGGTTTCCTCATCTGGAGAATGGGGACGACGGTGCCCCCACATCACAGGCTCGCAGGAGGCTGAGGAGAAGCAGCCCGCGACAGTGGCTATCGCTGGAAATGCAACTGGTGTGCGCACGGCGGGGCTGGAGGGTTAGAGAACGTTCTGGAAGGATTCCAAACACTTCGCGACGGTTCATCCAAGAAGCAGAGGTTAGGGAAAGGGAACCCTTTTCAACTCACATCCTGTATCAGCTGACCTTTGGAAATTACTTTGTCATTTTTTCTTTAATGTGACTTTTTATTTTTTATTTATTTATTTTTTAATATTTTTTAGTTGTTGATGGACCTTTATTTTTCATTTATTTGTATGTGGTGCTGAGGATCGAACCCAGTGCCTCAAGCATGCGGGGCAAGTGCACTACCACTGAGCCACAACCCCAGCCCTAATGTGACTTTTTAAAAAAACATTCTCGAGCGTCCCACCTTCCTTCCCTGTGGGCTAGGCCTGAAGCGGTCGCCCAGGTCCACCCAGACCGCAGCTGGTGCTGCCCTCTGCCACCTGCCCTGTCACCGCCAGCCAAGGGACCGACCAGGGGACGCACACACACTCCCACCTCCTGGCAGACACGACCCCGCTGTCCCTCCTCGGGCGCTCCTGGGCTCCAGTCCCGGCCGCACCACCGACTAGCCCTGGGCAAGCCACAGTGCCCCTCACCCTGACACCTCACCCATCGGGTGTCAGGTTTATGATCCCCTTTAAAATGTGGCACACAGAGGGCAGAGGGCACACAGAGGGCGGCCTCTGACACTCCTGAGATGCGTCAAGAATGCCAGGTGAGAGGCCAGCTTGCCAGTCCCCAGGCGGCGGCGGCCTGGGGGGCTCTGGCTGACCCCTCTAAGGTGAGACGGACTGATGGTTCCAACTTAACTGGGCCTGTGGCGGGAAGTCACAATGTGACATTAAAAAGTAGCCAGTACCCAGGAAGTGCCTAATAAATGACAGCTACTGCTGTCACAGTAAGGAAGGACCTACTCAGCCTTCGTCCTCTCTCCTCATCGCTCACAATCAGGCCAAGGGCTCCCACCGTCCTACTATGTGTCAAGCCAGGGTGCCGCCCTTGAGGACTTGTCTGGGGGCTGATTAACAGGGAAGACCACAGAAGCCACCTCACACGCGGAGCCCAGAGAAGGGGAGCCTGCGGCTCTGGGTGAGTGTGTGCCCAGCCTCATCCCCAGAGGGCAGACATTTGGAGGTCAGGCCTTTGGGAGGTAATTAGGTCATGAGTGGATCAGTGTCCTCAGAGGAACTGGAGGAGACCAGAGCCGGCTTGCTCTCCGCCACACTCTTGTTCACGACAAGAAGACAACCATTTGCACACCAGGAAGAGGCCCTTGTCAGACACTGACTCTGCCAGTACCCTGACCTTGGACTTTCCAGCCTTCAGAACTATGAGAAATAAATGTCTGGGATTTTGTGTGGGTATTGTTCTGTTGTTATTGTTATATGTATCTTTTGATTAATTCATTTTCAAACTGACATATAAAAATTATGCATACTTATGGGGTACCATATGATGTCTCCACGCATGCACATATCATATAATGTTCACTTTAGATTAGACATATCTAGATCCTCAAACAGTTTTCATTTCTTTATAGTGAAAACATGCAAAATCCTCTTCTCTAAATTTTTTAAAATATAAAATTGTCATTATTACCTATAGACACTGTCCTGTGCAGAACACCAAAACTTCTCATGTTTAACTGTGACTTAGTACCCATTGATCAAACTAAACGTTCTTTGTCTAAGCCACACAGCGTATGGTATTTGGCTACAGCAGCAAGGACAGATGACTGTCCCTTCCCACTAGTTAACTTCACTCTAAGATACTTGCCAATGCAATCAAGTCAGAAAAAGAAATAGAAGAAATAAAATGGAATTAGAAAAGAGAAGAGGATCATCTTCAGATGGTATAAATGTAGATCTGAGAGATATGAGAGAATTACTGGAAAACTATAGCTCAGTGGTAGAGGGCTTGCCTTGCACACATGAGGCCCTGGGTTCGATCCCCAGCACCACATAAAAATAAACAAATAAAAACAAAGATATTAATTTTAACTAAAAAAAATTTTTGAAAAGACAGCAGGGAATTAAATTAATATCCAAAGATCAATGACAATTCTAAGAGCAATCAAAAACTATAATGAAGCCATGCCTTGCAATCCCAGTGACTTGGGAGGCTGAGATAGGCAGATCACAAATTTGAGGTTAGCCTCAGCAACCTTGTGAGGCCCTAAGCAACTGAGTATGACCCTGTCTCAAAATAGAAATAAATAAATAAGCAGCTGGGGATGTGGCTCAGTGGTTAAGCACCTCTAGGTTCAATCCCAAAAAACAAAACAAAAAAAGAACGAACCATTTGACCCAGAATATCCACAGTGCCAATTTATAAATAGAAGTATATGGATAAGATTAGCCAGAAAAATCTTTAAAAAAAGAGGAAAGAGTGGGCTGGGCTGTGACTCAGGGGTAGAATGTTCACCTGGAGTGTGTGAGGCACTGGGTTCGATCCTCAGCATAACATAAAAATAAATAAATAAAGGTATGTGTCCACCTACAACCAAAAAAATATTTAAAAAGAAAAAAGAAAGAAAGAAAAGTAAAGAGGGAAAAACCAACCCGACTGTAAAACTTACTCTAAATGCATAGTAATTAAACGTCTGTGATATCAGTGGATAAAGAGGGTGGAATAGAGGGTATAAAAATTATCTTCAAACATACAGGAATTTAATCTATAATG